CATCAATACTAAGGCTCCATAAACTTTAAGTAAACATTCGAGTTGGCCTGGATACTGGACTACTGAATATATAGTACATGTTTTTGCTTATATCTCATACTCATGTCCTATTGATCCTGACTAGGATCTCTCGCAAATTCTTAAAATGGGTTAACTAAACCACTATTGTAATAAGAATCATAATTTTGGTCGCAAAAATCAAAGATCAGAATGTCTGCACGCCGCAACTTTTCATACACGACTGTAATGGAATCGATAGTTAAGCCACCCAACATGAAGTGGATCAAAGGCTTGGTTGCAGCACTCTACCAGGCATGGTCACTTTAGCAAGGATATTCTACCTTTAAATACATAATATATATGAATAAGAATATAGTATATAATAGAAATAAAAAATAAAAGATAAAAATACTTTAATGTAAAATATAAACATAAATTTCGGTCCGGATGAGAATGCACTTTTTTTATGGTTTTCTAAACTCTGTGGGCAGTCCATCTCACAGTAATTTTCGCACCAAGCCTAAAATTGTAGGACTTATAAACAAATTGTCACAAGCAATTCCCCCTCGGAGAATGTAGAAATCAAAACAATGCATTGCTGGATTATATGACTCTTATCATTGTGGGAAAGACTGAACTATCAGTCCATAAATCACCTTAAGCAACTAACTTCCTATTTAAGAATCACTGATGGTATCAAAAATATACAGGAAATTAGTTAGCTTAGAATAGGAAAATTGTCTCCTCCAGTTTCGATATTTTGGGAGCTAATACAAATGCCATCATTTAAAGGACTCACAAAATGAGACGCTGTTCTCTGCTGGTCTTGCTTAAGAACGAAAACCTCGGCGCCCAGAAATCGGAGCCACAATCTGCATAAATGACAATAATGCCTGAACGAGATAATGCTTTATAATCTAAAAAAATGGACCAAATCTGAATTTTCGAGAAAATTGAAAATAATTACTCACCCTCGTCTCGATCGGTAGCATTTACTGTGAACAAGGCATCACCGACTGCGGTCGCTTCATTCACTGTGAAATATGAATGGTGTCGGCCGAAGTTGGGCGCCTCGTCATTAACGTCCTGAATGCGTACCAGTACGGAGCCAGTGACGTGATGTGGCGGCTGACCGTGGTCCGAGCAGAGGATCCACACAAAAATGGTCGGTGTCACCTCGCGGTCGAACATGGCTGCCGTGGTCAGCTTGTAGCTGCATGTTTGTGCACGAGTAGTTATGGGGAAGAATAAGAGACAGAAAGAAAGAGAGAAAAAGCCCGGGAAGAGGAAGAGGTAGAGACAAGAAGATGATGTTTCAGTAGAGCCAAAAGAAAGCTATGAGTAAAAAAGGGTTGGGTATAGGAAAAAATTGGAATAAGAGATAGGGAATCTGTCGATAGTGTTGCAAATCAAGCAGCTACAAAGTAACATGTGAAGGATTTATTTTCACTTTAACAAAATAGTTATTAACTAATCCTGTCCTGGCTGAAAGTGGTTTTACCAGTTCACCGGAATTTTGGGTTCAGTCAAAATACTTAGTAGAGCGGAAGGCTATTGTGAACTGTTTGCCGTCAAAAGTACATTTTTGGAAGACGGGATGAGTTTATTCAAAGAACTGCATATAGAAAATCTTGAGCCATTCTTTAGGTGAAGACTAAATCCTTATAATTTAGCCCTGTTTATAGCCCTGACAAGATTTTTGTTAAGTTGCGCACTGGACAGTGTGACACCAAAAAGGTACCAAAAAGTGGCATTCCAACCATTTTGAACATATTTTTTGTTTAAAAATAAGCTTTTAAGGCTAGCAGTATATCATATATATGAGATGTATTTACCTTATTTCGTTTAGAGTCATAGGAGGGTGGTAGTTGAATTTTTACACAATCATATGAGTAGACATGAAGTTTCCATTAAACTTTACATAGCAGGAGTGGACGGCAGTTTCGAACACGCCTCATCAGCACACCCAGCGGGACTTGAACCCGGGTTGAAGTAGTGAAGCTTATAATCGAAATTCTTTAACCACCATGCCACATTGCTTTGGGTGCTCTTGTATCACAGGGCAGATGCGAATTTCAAGGAAGGCCAGGCACTTTCAATTATTATATCCATTCTGTGGTTATATTGTTGATGAAAAAAAGTTGTATTTGCTATAGCAATCGATTATTTTTTGTTTATAAGTAGGCTTTTGAGACTACCGGTGGATCATATATATGAGATTTATTATATATATATAATATACTATCATTCTTGGAAGCCTACTAATAAAGGAAAAATAAGTAACGTATTCGGTTGATACAGCAAATACAAGTTGGTGTGACCTTTTGTATGGTCGCAGTCTCCTTTCATTGTTTACAGGTTGTTTGACCATATTTTCGCAACTTGATCATATTGGTAAGCAGATTTAGAGTAACGCACCTAGTCCGGAGTCCATTGTATGCATGATCATTTTCAAAGTCAGACTGTGGATGTGGTACATTCCCAGACGTTTCGCCGGCATCGTCAGTGAGTCTCGCCATTCATAGCACCACACAACAACTCGTCGAAGAGACAGGTGAAGCCGATCCTTTGACCAAATGTGGGCTAAACAGTTGTGGTATCTCCCCTTTTGCCCTGGGCTGTTCACATTTCTTATATCCTCCTATCACGCCTTCACTGTTACAATTTTTACCGTGCTTGCTTCGATGTTGTGTGGTGTGCTCCTTTGAGCGGCATTTATGAAAACCATTCACACTCCATGCTGTCGTTCTCACCCCCTTCACCATTGTATTGAGAATGTTGATCTGAGTCTGCCATAGTGTTAAGCAGTCCTCCTTCCATAGGCCTTATCACAGTCTCCAACAACCTCTATACAAGTTTGCTTCATTGAAAATCACACCTAATAATGGGAATGATATGAGAAAATGCCTGGTCTTCTTTTGAATTCAAATTTGCCCTGTGACCCAGGGGCACTCGTGACGATGTGGCTTATTGCTTAAAGTGTCTAGATTATATACTTCTCTACCTAACCCCGGGTTCGAATCCCACTGTGAGTGCTGATGAGACCAGTCCAGGCGAGTTCGAATCTTCCGTCCACTCCAGCTCTGTGAATTTCAATAGATACTTCATGTCTACACATATGATTGTGCGAAAATTAAATTACTAACCCTCTTATCACCCTACACGAAATATAATAAATATATATCATATACATTTTGCATATTTCTTTGTTCAGTGAGAAATCAGAATGTGGTTAACAACAGGTAGCCGACTTTTCTCACATCATTCTTGGTAGGTCACACCGTGAGTGTTGCATACACACACGAACACGTATCCATGACACTCTAACAAGACCCAGGGTGACAGGATCATTCGATAGTATATCTACATAGACAAAAGTTGTTACAACATACGCTCCCCTTCCTGCATCACTTTGACCCGCTTATATTCATACAGGATAAACATTAAGATCGCAAAGTGAGGCATAAGAATTAAGTATGATTTCAACTGGCTACCTTTCTTGGTATAGTGCTTTTGGGTGATTTTTTCGTGAATAATGATTTCTGTCTCTGACGATGTCCGTAGCATGACGCACTAAAGCTCAGCAAGAAATCGTGGTCGTAGGACTGTGAGCCGATGTCTACTTCGCACAATTCGACCAGGGAACCATCCTTCGGCACCTGGTGAGGCCAATCTACGAATCTCTTCGACCAGCCTTTTCAAACGAAATGAAGGTACGCCAGTATCAATCTCTTAAGGGATTTTTCATATCCCTTGGCCTTTCTTCTAAAGACGTTTTCTCATCCAGTATTCGAAATGGGGTCATGAATACCATGGCAAAATTATACCAGTTCGCCACATGACCACGGTTGCCAGTGAATCATATGGTAGCTGTGACTTTTAAGGCATGCTATGCCTTACTTTAATCATATTTTATAGTGTGTATATTGGTGAGGAATATATATATTTTCCACTAGAATTGACCGCATTACTTATCTTCAGTACGAGTAAGCTTATAAAATAACGCTGTCGATTATAAGGGCAAATATACCTTCTTCTCATTGACACAATATAAATGTGACTTAGGTGAGGATTGACTTAGTTTGAAAGTAGCATCTTCTCTGAATTCCACTAACACTCATGGCTGCTTGTCGAAGTGGTAACTCGTTGCCATGATCCTCACGACACGGTTTCAACCGTGTTTTTGGTTATGACGAGAAGCTGATGATACTGAGACGGGATAAAAACTACGAAAGCCCATTGTGAGGTAGTATGAGACCTTTTCATAATATTGTGTGCAAAACTCCACTATCACTATTTACATCACCTTAAATATTTCTTCCTATTACTGTTGATAATGTACAAATAGACTCGAACCTAAGCAGAAGCGTTG